AGTAGCTCTTCTACCAAGACAAAATTGAAATCATTCTTTCTCATCTTTCACTTCTGTGTTCCTATATGAAATTCCATCATCCTTCTGAGAATCACTCTCATCTCAGAGCCTTCCTCCCCAAAATCTAGTTGGGGACACTAGGTCCTTAGGTTTTATCCACGTTTCTGCATGTCTGCTCTTTTAGATCCTTCCCAGAGCCTAGCACCGTACTAGGCACAGAGGCAGATATCAGGACATCTTTATAGATCAGTAGATTTCAGTTGTGCAACTCAGTTTTTAAAAGGTGCTACAACTTATAAAAACAGCTTTTATATTCATTCAGAATCCAACAAATATATTTGTAGAGTATCTATAAGAGGACAAAAATCTGTGTCCCCTTGGAGATTCCATTCTTTTAAAGTTCTCTAAAAACCTATCTTTAGAAGTTATTTATATATAAAATATATTTATATTTATAATGTGTAAAACAGTAAACACGCACAGATAAAATTTCTAAAATACCTTATTTATTCCTAAGGCAAATGGACGATTTGAAGTAGGCAAGAAAATCTGTTTGAGCATCTCAGGACATCATCCTGAAACTTGGCAGCCTTCATGGAGTAGTGAGTATTTAAAGTGAATATAAATCGTACGTAACTTTAGTCAGTTCATAGTCATAAAGTATAAGACTCTCTTGAGATTGAAGCTGTTTTGGACAAGTAATTTGATATCATTGAATAAATAATAAGTATGCTTTTCCTTATCTAGATTTTTGCATCATTTTAATACATACACCCCTACGTGTACCACTTCAGTGAAACCCTATGAGTCTTTTTTCTTTCTCTTTCCAGAGTAAACCCAGTTCTTTACAAAGCAGCTTAGATTGATGTTTACTTTTTATTTCAGTAAGAACAGCATTATTAGCCATCATTGGGTTTATGCCAACAAAAGGAGAGGGAGCCATAGGTTCTCTAGATTACACACCTGAGGAAAGAAGAGCGCTTGCCAAAAAGTAAGTTTTGCATTTCATTATTTGTTAAGATCTGAATACTGTTCTGGATAATGGCTATCAGGAGATGGGTTCTGTCTCTTTGTGACTTACCTTGTCTCTACAGATCTAGTCTTAGTTTTGCTGTCTTAGAAATTCGGTTGATCAATTTTTCCAAGGGCAACCAGACTATGAAGAATTGATTTTGTGCTATCTAGTTTTAAAAAGTAGTTGACGGTATCAACCTACAGTGGGAAGTATCTTCTAGAAAACAGTACTGGTCATTTATCTGCACTTGGGCAGTATTATAGATGGAAAAGTGTCAGAACAATGATACAGATGAAGCTTTCCATAGAAGTTTTAAAAACTCCTTGAAGACAGGGAGGGAATCCACTTTGTCACCTTTGTGTCTGTAGCATCTGCCTCATAGCAAGTGCTCAATAAATGATCTGGAAGAAACCAAAGGAGATTTTCTTTATCAAATCATAGTTTCCCGTGGTATTGCCTTCTTGATTTTTTCAAGTACCTATCTTCCGTCTGTGTAACCCAGACTTGCCATTAGACTCAGAGTAGTCTCTCCTTTGAGTAGTGCTAAGACTAGTTCTTGATTTTGATCATTGTCCTGTTCTGGACTCTGCTGCCTGCCACCCTACAGACATATTATATTAATAAATTATAGTTTATCTTGCACTAGCACAGACCAGAATTGGCCCTCCATAGATATTTGTCAAATCAGGTAGGTTTTAGTGTCTGGAAGATTTGATAGGCTCCTTGTTTTATCAACAACTTTTCTTATTCCTAAATTCAGGGTATACGTTACTTTCAACTACTTTTCATAAACTATAATATGTACTTTGAATACATAGCATTTGTTTTTATTTCATTTTCTATGTTGACTTTCTATCCAGTTCATGTACAGGGTTAAAAAAAAAACTTTTGTTTAGACTTCTCACTGTGTATATTCTAGGTTCATAGTCTAGAGGCTTTCTGAAAACATGATTTTGCATTCAACCATGGTAGCATACTATCCTTGTGGATGAACTAATATATTAAAAATAAACTTTCTCCTCTGAGTTTCATCTGGCTGCTCAGTTAAAAGTGAATACATTTTAAGGCAAATAATTTGGATACAACTGATTTTCAAAAGGACATAGACAGCAATGTGTGCAACTTCTGGTGAGATAAAAAATATTCATCAATAAATACTAAATTAATATAACTTTTTATTGAAGTATAGTTGATTTTAAATTAGTACAACTTTACATGTATTTTGTTTACATGAATTTATAAATAATATGATCTTCAAAGTCTAAGACTTTTTTTTATGTTGAACTAGATATATGACAAAATAAATAGGTTTTTAAAAAGTTCAGCAATATAACAATATATAGTTTTACACATTATACATATTTACTTCCAGTCATACAGAGGAGAAAATGAAAACAGAAAAACAAATCAGTCTTAGGAAATAATCTAGCTAATAGGCTAATCTTGAACCTCTACTTACTATAAATGATAATGATAAATTGCAGTGTCTTTGGATTTCACATGTGTTCTCTATCTTTCAAGTTGTACTACTACTTATTATAAATGATGATGATAACTACTACTGTTTAGATGAGTAGGGTTTGTGAGATTTTTCCCTGGAAATAACCTGTAAATTATATTTTAAGTTGGCTTCTTTCTGTTTTATATGTTTCTGCTGAAGATGATCTGAGCTTTGAAATGGACTTTTTTCCCACAGACTTAACGTAGGCTTATTTTGTGTGATCTTAAGGACAATGCAGTTAGACAGTTTGTATGCTTTGTTTCATAGATCTAAAGCTTATTTATCTTTAGATAGTATATTGGGGAAAAAATGAATTCTAAGCTCTGTTTTTTTTTTTTAATTTTAGATTTTTTAAATTGAGATATAAGTGACATGGATTTTTTTTTAAACCAACCTAACTTGTGTATTTGTCTTAGAACTATAATTGTTACCAAAATGTTCTAATTTACGTGTAGATGAATGTGATATGTAGTTGTCCAGTGTTCTTTTCTTTTAAATTTAATCATTCAGTATTTGAGTGTCTTGAATTAACTTTCAAGTATTTGGTTTATACCCATCAAAAAAAAATTATTTCCAATCAGATCACAAGATTTCTGTTGTGAGGGATGTGGCTTTGCCATGAAGGATGTCCTGTTGCCTTTAAAATCTGGAAGCGATTCAAGCCAGGCTGACCAAGAAGCCAAGGAACTGGCTAGACAAATCAGTTTTAAGGTACTCTAAATTTATAGATAAATTCTAATTATGTAGACCTTTTATTTACTGCCAACTTCTGGATGGAAAGTAAAGCAATATAGTCCTGTTGCACTGAGGTTTTTATAAATAATTTTTTTTATTACAAACTAATAATATGTATTCATAGAAGAAGCAGTATATCCTAGCAGTGTTTAGAAGCTCAGACTCTGGTGTACAACGCCAGGTCAGAGCTCAGCTTTGCTGCTTGTTAGTAGTAGGACATGAGACGTTACTTACACTGTACCTTTTCCTCATCTGTAAATAATAATGCTACTTAACCTGTAGGATTCTTAGGAGGATTGAGTTAGTAATACTCACTTAAATGTATTGCATTTAGAACTGTCCCTGGTGCTTAATAAATTTTAACTATTAGTTTAATATTTGCTAATTTTACTACATTCTTTTGTTATGTATATGCAAGGAAGTGATGGGGGTTATAAATTCAATTTGAGTAAAGTTTAAGATCATATATTTTATGATAAAGAGCCTTTAACTTAAGATAGCCAAAGCACTGATATTATATATTTGCTATAAAGAGAATTATAGGAGTTTTATTTTTCTGATATTAAAAGTGACTTTATAAAGACTTGTTTCCATTAAGAAAAATTAACTATTATTGTAGAAAATATAGATAAGCAATAGGAAGAAAACAACAATCATACATAATCCCATCCCCAAGAAATAGCTGCTGTTAATATTTTGTTGTTGTTGTTTTAATGGAGGTCCTGGGGATTGAACCCAGAACCTTGTACATGCAAAGCGTGTGCTCTACCACTGAGCTACACCCTCCCCCATGCTGTTAATATTTTGACATATCTCTCATATCCTTTTGTTCTGCATGTTTTACCCAAACATATGATTACTTCTGGAATTTAATTAGCTCCATAAAACAGTGTCAACTTGCATTAGGCGATATGCTGCCTCCTCCCTTTTCTCCACCTCCCTACATCCTGAATATCCTTCCATTTCCAGTTCTTGGGAGAAATTTTTCCTTCTATTTTATTGTGGTTCCTGGAAGAGGAGCTGCTGAATAAATGTTGGTTATTTTCTTCTGAGGATTCCTATTGTACTTAACATTACTTCTCTGAAAATCTTAGGTAGGGTCAGATGTCTTTTGTACATCAGAATTTCAGATATCAGAAAATATTGACCCTATACTAATCCCTGTAGTGGGACCTGGAGCAGCACCCCATAATCAAATCTGTTACTATTTCATCAACAAACCTGGGAATATTTACAGTAATGTTCAATAAAGACTATTAATGGCCTCACATATCAGACTTTGCCTGGAAATTACAAGTTTTTAGAGCTCTTTGGAGTGGGTTGTGAACCATGGGTGTTAGTTTTGTCCCCTCGTCAAGTACCAGCTCCCTGAGAATATGTATTGTCTACTCCTTTCCCTAAAGTACCTAGCACAGCTTTAGACACAATGAGTAATCACTACTTAACTGATTGACAGTTGATATTAAAGTAGCAATTAAAATAAATCCAAGAGAGGACTTAGTAGGTTATGGGTTATTCTGTACATCTCCTCTTGTAACACTGCTCCTGGGTGTATCTTTTTTATATAGGCAGAAGTCAGTTCATCTGGAAAGACTATCGCTGAGTCGGACGTAAACCACTCTTTTTCCCTAAATGATTTACAGGATGATATACCTACAACATTCCAGGGTGCTACAGCAAGTACATCGGTATGGGTCTTGTCTTTTACATCTATATCTGTATCTGTGCCGTTGTCATTATTTGCAATAGAAGAGGAGATCTCGTGATGAAATATCTAAGTATCTTGGTTCTCCTAACAGTTGGATTCTAGCCTACCTCTCTCGCTAATGAATTATAGTGTCTTAAGCAAGGTATTCATATTTCCTGAGCCTTCTTTTTTGTTGAATGAGGCTGACTAAATAAATTTTATGTTCTGTTGTCCTTGCAGAATCCTATGACTTTTCTAAAAAAGTTAGTTTCAATATAGTGCTAGACTCTGAATAATATAAAATATACATACATTAGCTACTTTCTAAATAGGCACTCTGTCTTTGGCAGGTTAGTTAAGCTGCATTAAGGCACTGACCTAAAAGGCCTGGAATCAAAGATTTGCCTTAGACCATCTCTGTGCAATACAGTAGCACAAGCCACATGCGGCTATCTAAATTTATATTGAAATTATTCATAATTAAACTAAATTAAACATTCAATTCCTTAGTCATACTGGCCACATTTTAAGTAATCAATAGCCACATGTGGCTAGTGGCTACCATTTTGGACAGCATAGATACCAGACATTATCATCATCTCAAAAATTTCTGTTGGACGATGCTCCGTTGTACATTGTGTCTAATAAATTTTGAATGAAAGATTACATGGGTGCTGTGGGTCTTGTTAGTTGTGCCCCGACCTGTTGTTTAAACGTTGGTGGGCCTTGGTTGTTGGAGAGACTGATTAAGGAAATGTGACTGGACTGTTGCTAAATCATTAGGATTATGATCATGAGGGAAAACATTGACTTTCCTTTCTGTGTATAAGTCACGAACTGTCTTTTTCATAACAGATAGTTTGGTTGAGTAGCTGTATCTCCCTCCCCCCACTCAACACCCCAGGGAGGCCTTCTAGTTTGTAGAAGATTTTAAAGGGTCAGGAAAGTGGAAATAGAGGCTGGGCAAATACAGATTTGCTTTTTACTCACGAATACCTTATTAAAAAGTTGGACTGAGTAGTCCTTTTCCATGCAGAGAGTGAGATGGGCAGAAAGAAGTAGGTTGAAGAAAGCAGGGGACGGGGTGCTCTAAAGGAAGTTCTTGGAGGACTGGAGAGGGAGGTATAAGAAAAAAGTGTATGTTAAGAGTTAAATCGTTTTCATGTGTTCCCCATGTAATTTTATGAATTATAGAGGGATACAGTGAATTAATTTTAGTCAGTATATGTTTCAGCTTGAAATATTAAAAGCATATTTAGATTGCTTTTCAAATTCTTTTTGTTTTAGAATTCTAATTGTTTTTTATATCATAAATAGATTTTAAAAAATAGAACCATCCTGTTAAAGAGGAGGGTAGTAATCTTTTTTCACCTGTAAGGATAGTCTCCTAATATTTGTGATGTATTTAAATCTGTCTTCAGTCCCTTTTAAATCTATGTCAAGTTCTCTGTTGCATATTCCAGTTAAACTTACTCCAGTTGTAATTTAGCTTATAATTAGTTATTTATTATCTGTCTCACTTCCAAGAATGTAAGTTCCATGAGGATCAGGGCGCTCTTTGTACTGCACTGTCTCCTCAGTGCCTGACATAGTGCCTCGTATATAATAGATAGTCAGTTTATATTTGTTGGTTGAATAAATGAATCTTAGGATTGGCACTTTTAAAAAATACTAGGAATACAGGTAAAGAAATCAAGGAGTTTAGCAAGTTACATTGCACAAACAGTAGTTTTGTTATTACAATAGTCTTTTCCATTTTGATTTTTTTCTTACTTTTTCTTCCAGTTTTATTGCAATATAGTTGACATACAGCACTGTGTAAGTTTAAGGTGTACAGCATAATGATCTGGGTTACATAACCACAAAATAATTACCACAAGTTTTGTGAACATCTAATATCTCATAGATACAGATAAAAGAAAAAAGGAAAATATTTCTTCCTTGTGATGAGAACTCTTAGGATTTACTCTCTTAACAACTTTCATTTATAACAAACATGGTGTTAATTATATTAAGCATATTGTACATTACATCTCTAGTACTTACTTACCTTATAACTGGAGGTTTGTACCTTTTGGCCACCTTCATCCAGTTTCCCTCCCTCCACCGCACTGCCTCTGGTAACCACATATCTGGTCTCTTTTTCTATGAGTTTGTTGTTTGAAGTATAATTGACCTATAACATTATGTTCGTTTCTGGTACAAAACATAGTGATTCGATATTTCTATACATTAGAAAATGATCACCACCCATTTTGATTTTAAAGTACATAAGACAGAATTCTTTTCCGTAGATATAGGTAATTAGTTGATATCAATTCTGATTAAAATACTGACAAGTAATAAATTGCATAGACTTGCAAGTTAAGCTGTTAATTACATTTATATGTAAATTATCTGAATATGATTATATAATTTGATCACTATGGAATTAACTAAAACCTTGTTTTGGCTAGAGGTAACTGCTTTAGGTGCAAGTATAGTAAATTCACTAAGATGTTATACGTTAAATCCCAGATCAGCTATGTTTTTTTAGCCTTGAGGGGGCGAGAGATTGCCCAAAGTCTAAATACAGCAGATAACATCAACATCAGGCCATCTGTTGCTTTTGATGCAGATTTTTTAGCTATGTAGAAACTGGAACAATACTGATGGTTGTTTGATGTTCTTCCAGTCTATTAGATTTTTCCTTCTTCCCAGGGATTGAGGTTCTGAATAAACCATTCCATTTTGTATTAAAACACAGACACGAAACTCCCTCAGAGTTGCTTGTTATTCTAGGTTATTAAAGAAAAATTTATATGTATTACAAGGGAATTATCTGTGACTGTGATTTATATATATATACATACACATAAACACATACATATATACATAATTAAATACAAATGTTACATACTTTTACATTCCCAGAAATGATCTTAATGAAGGAAATCATCTTCATGATCTTAATGAAGGAAATGGAAACTGTTACGACTTAAGTCTTCATTCTGCAATATGTGTGTTGGACAAGTTTAGGCAAATAGCAAAGATATAAACATCCTACCACCAAACCTACAGCGGTTTGCAGATGCTGACACCAACTCGATTCTCCATGTGCAGTTCAATATGAACTGCCAAAATTTAGCCCAGCTAGTCCTTCACCTCCAGATAATCCTGGTTCCTCTGGGTCTATAACCTTGGGGTCATACAGTTTTCTCCTAATGTGATTGTTTTAAATAGGAAGAATTTTATAATTTTATAGTATCACAGCACTAAATTTTAGTCAGGGATATATCATCCAAAAGGCAGTGAAACATATCCTATTTAAAGCAGTATATCTATATAAATATTTCCATTAAGTACACATACTAAAATGTCATCTAAAGTCAATGTTTTCAAGGATTGTTGTTCTAAATATACTAACCATACTAATGAAGGTCTGAAAAGCAGTCCTAAATAAAGTCATGACCTTTTTTGACCTAAATCTAGGGTCTTCAAAGGGATGTAGCGATAGTAATATTAGTAATGACTAACATTTAATAAGCAATTGTGTACACTAAGCATTTTATATCATTATCCTGTTTAATCTTCACAACTACTGAGCTGGATGTTATCATCCTTGTACAGGTGAGGGAATTGAGTCTTAGGTTAAATAGCTTGCTTAGGGTCACACATCTACAAAGGGGCGAAGCCAGCCTAGTGAGGCTAAGGCTCCCTGTTTTAGTCAGGTATGTGGGCAGGGCAGTGTTCTCCCCTCAAGCTCATGGAAAAAACAACATGTATAAAATAAAAGCTTTAAGGTAAGTCAATATCTTGTGCTAATTTCTGGATTGATAATACCATCTTGTTTTTTATTTTTCTTAAAAACACATTTCCCTTTAAGTCTTGAGTGCTTTTGCTCTGTCAGACACTTCTGTCTTCTCTGGCAGAACAGTTGGAAGAATGGGAGATTTCAAATGGAATGTTGCTGCTGTATTGGCTACTATAATTCTGTTCCACTCCATGGGTATGACACCTGTGACACCTAAGACCTCGTAAAATGCATCTGCTTGGTGTATCTGCTCTTCAGTGAGCACACTGTTCCTGGGCCCTGGAGTTTGGAAGTCCAAGTTCATGCTACTCTAATTCAGTATCAGCACTAACTTTTACTTCTAACTTTCTACCTTTGTATTAGGGGTCACTACATTTGAGTGTTCTAAAGGATAGTTTTAAGAAACTCAGATTATTTAAACCATTTAATGTTGAGGTGATGTCAGATTTAAAATGTAGTTTCTTCTGCAGGTAACTTAGATGAGTAGTTTTTCCCCTAATGTTATATTGTTGCCAGGATGTAGCGCATTCTTTTACCTTTGTAAGAAGTAGTTGAATTACATTATTATGTTCTTTTTTCTTCTAAATATTGAAATCTTCTATAATGAAAAGTATTTTAAATCTTTTGTATTTACTCTATTTAAAAAGTTATTCTGAATAAAACATGCATTCTTATTTTTAATTTGAAAGAATGTATACTGATACTATTATAATCAGTATAAAGTTGTGTTCAATACAAGAAAGGCTATTGGGTTATTAGAGGTAGAGTTAAAGTGTCTATATAAATAAAGTGAAATTCATATTTTGTAGCACTTTCTTGTCTATAAACCACATTTACGATTTTGAATCACTTGGTGCCACATCGTGGTAATGCTTTGACCAAGCGTTCATTGAAAGGATAGGAAGCAGTTGACGTCCAGTGCTTTTCAGGGGGGCAACTGGTGTGCCAAAGTAGAGGATACACTGGATCTGCTATAACCGCCTCCACTTTTTTCTCAGCACATACCCAGGGAACTCTTGACAATAGGTCATGCTTTACATACATAAAGTAACACAGTTCCAACACACAGTAAAGCGTTCTTCTAGACTTGTGCTCAGTTCAGTTGACAGGAGTTGTGAGAAAGGATAAGCCTCGTTTGAAAACTGTATCTAATATTTATAACAATATTACTGTGAAAAACATGGTTTGAAATTATTTCCTGTCCTGTGTGATTGTTGATGTAGTTAGATAATATTGGAGGAAGAACACTGTTGAGAGTTGCCCCTTTTTTGCCATTTACAATGGCAGACTGTTAAGTAGAAGGTGGAAATCAAATTGCTTCCCACATTGACTCTCCCGAAAGAAGGGAGGTACCTAGATGCCTCACAGATACTGTTGGAATTGCAGCTGGAGGAGAGTAGAAAGCCATCTCTGTCTCCAGAGTATGGATATCCAGAATATGGATAAACTCTGTCCTCTTCTTATTTGTTGCTGGTAAGTTCCTCCTCCACGTGATGAGCACTAGATAAGTTGCGCTGCTGGCTTATGCAGGAGGGTGAGTTATTCATCTCAGCATTCAGAGAATTCTTGGTAGTTCTGCCCTTAGTCATATTTAGTGCTCTGAGATTCTGTGTACTATTGAATAGATAGCCTGTATGTATGTAAGTTTTCTTTGCCAATTTCAAACAAAATTTCTTTAAATTTCATAGTATGGAGTTCAGAACCCCTCAACAGCACCCCTTCAGCAACCTGCCCAGCCTGTAGCTAAGAATACCTCCATGAGCCCTCGACAGCGCCGGGCCCAGCAGCAGAGTCAGAGAAGGTCGTCTGTGTCACCAGATGTAATCCAGGCCCAGCAGCCAAGAGACAACCACACTGATCATGGTGGATCCGCTGTATTGATTGTCATCTTGACTTTGGCATTGGCAGCTCTTATATTCCGACGAATATATCTAGCCAATGAGTACATATTTGACTTTGAGTTATAATACTGTTTTGTGTCTTAAGAGCTGTGACTCAACTGCTTCATTAAACATTCTGCATTGGGTATAATCTAAGAATTGTTTACAAAAAGATTATTTTGTATTTATCCTTCATCCCTTTTTTGATCCTTATAAATTCAGTATAAATATAGCTAGACATTCAGACTCTGTCTTGCTTAGTTTTAGGGACTGGAAGTCAAAAGTCCCTTGTCTCTACATGACCTGCTTTACAGGGAGATAACTTATTGTTTTTCATGTCTCAGCTTCTTTTTATGTAAATTTATGATACTTTTCTGTATAGCCCTTGAAAAGATGGTGTTTTAAGTTCCAATGAGTATTACTAGTTACTCAATGCCATTTATCGAGTACTCTGCTTCTACTTATGTAAAATGATACAGGGATTAGAGTTGAAAAGGGAAAATAAAACCCTTCAAATAGGTCACTTAAAATGGATTCATATGAGACATACTGGGATTGCCCAATTTATGGCTGACTTTGTGTCCTAAACATTCTTCAGTGAAAGTAACTATTTCGGTCTAACATTTCCAGGGAAATGAGATTACATCTGTATTATTGGATGTTACTTGAAAAGGGAATGATGCTTTGTAACCACTTTGATATGCTGTTATCCCCTTCTCTACAGTTCACACGCAAGATTTAAAAAGAAAGAGGGAAAACAGTCCTCCATAGATCTGTGTTTTAAGGAAGGAAGCATCCGAGCCAGGAAGTCACTTGATTTTCTTCCAGGAGTTAAATAGGAGGATCTTAAGATTTGAATGTTTGCTCAGCTTTGAATTGTATATCTTTTGAGATGTATTATATGCCTTGCTTTATAATTATAAATTTAATTATTCCAGGAATGTGCATAATATTGAAATATTTCATGTACCATTTTAATAGAAAACTCAGGGCCCAAGGAACAGTAATAATTAGAAAAGCCTCCCTTAGGATTGTCCACCTAATCAAAGCCCAAGAGGGAATTTTCAGTGCAAAATCAATATATAACTTAGTGCTAGCTAGCTCCACAGACTAGTAGATAATTTTATTATCATAAGTAATGCCTGGTGAGAACATATAATCACAGAGAAATACTGTCTTCAGCATGTTCAGTAGCAGCATTGAGGGCACTCTTGAGAGTACTGTTAATGAAAACTTCCTTTTTAAATACAGGCAGTCCCCAGCTTTCAAACAAGTTATGCTCTAAAAGTGCATTTGTAAGTTAATTTTTTTTACAACTCAATGTTGTAAATGGTCTTTAGGTTCTAGACAAGGCCACAAAAGTTAGTCCATGATGTATCTTGAATAATTTGGGGGATATTATTTATAAAGTCCTTATGTGGTTTTAACTAACTGAAATTATGGGCAAGATAGAGGCAATTTGTAAAATGATTTTAAAGGCAAATTTAATTTTTACTCCTGCTATGATAGTACTTTGGTTCTGTTAATTATCAGACACAATTTCTATTTTCATTTGATAGCCAGTTTATGTCTGTATCTAAAATAAGAACATATTGTATACTATTAAATAATACCTGGTTTTATTAAATTTTAATAAATTAGTATTTTCAAAGTGTTTACAGATTGTTTCTGTTATATCTATAGCTGAAGTTGGTAAAGTCTAAAAAGCTCAAGGACTTTATGATGACCTCATGTGTCAGAAAAATTACAAGTTACCATTTTATAACTTTATTGCCATGAGAAAATACATTCTGAAGTCTTGGTTTGGAATGTAAGATATTTAGAAATACTGGTTCAGTGGTCGGTGGTCTCCTTGCAAAAGGTCACCAGCTCACCTGAGGAGACCAGGTAACATTATCACCTGAGAAGAAGGAAATCCCTTCTGTGCTGAGATTAATCGTGTGCTTGGAACAATCTTCCCTCCCTTTCTCTCAGTCACGCTGAGCCAGCCTCTCAATTGATGTGATCTTGTTACCTGTTTCCATAGGATGCACCTATACTTTAAAACTGATTAAGCCAAGAAGATTTTGCATTGTACAGACCCTCCTCTGAGTTGCCTCTCTTCCCTCACCCATCAGCTGCTGGGCCATCTTCTTGTTTGTTGAGGACCTGATACATGTATCTGAAAGTGGCATATCTTTTTTGTTCCTCCCTTTTCAGCTCCCATTGCTTCCTAAAAATCCTTAAGTTGTTTATCTGACCCCCTGTTGTTGAGTTAATGAACAAAAGTGGTCTTCGGCATTTTCACTCATCCCACTTGAAGGGTCTCTTCAGAAAACTATTATTTTTCAAGCCCCACTTTAACCCCTTATTTACAGCATAAGGCTGACACCAGATGTGGGATCTGGTAGGTAAAGGCTTAGAACTCCTTCCCCCAATCCTCACATTTAGGTAACTCATGGCTTCTTCTTTGACCAACATAGCACATGAAGACATATCAAGGTAGTTAAAATAGCATGCTTGAAAAAACACATAATGTCTGTTTCACGTGTAACTGTCTAAGCAAATGGAACTTCAAATTTTATGTATCATGGGGCTTTTAATGTAGCACTTTACATTTTCATGCTGCTTATTGTTTTATTCTACTGAAATAAATGAATTTCTGCAAAATTCTCAATAATTTTTTTTAAAAACTTCTAAAAATTGTTTATTATTTTGATTATGAAAACATAAAATTTCCTGTTTTGGGAGAATAAGAAGTCTTTTTGTTACTTTTGGCTATGAATAACTTTCTGGTACCTTGCGACCTCCCATTTTTATAGAGCAGAATCAGTAAACAAGCAAACCTCACACAATTGGACTTGTGCAGAAACCTAGGCTGAAGTATTGAAAGGCCTCTATTGTTTTATTACTTGCAAAGAAGTAATGAAAGTTGAATGCATTTAGTGAACCTGACTCTTAACAAAGAATAATGTGTACATTAACGTGTACTATTACAGCCTTTGTGGGAGGCTGTAAATACTCGAAAGCTGTTTGGAATGCCTCTTTTTAACAGTTGCCTTCAGAACTAGTTTGAGCTGCTCAATAAAACCCATGACTTTATTTGTACCTTGTTTTGAATTCTTTATGTCATTTGGTCTTATCTCCTGTTCATTTCACCTCCTTGAATATTCTCTTGCATTTTCCCACTTCTCTTCATGCTCACTGCCACTACCCTAATTAGCCACCAATCTTCTCTGAGTTAGGGCGATAATCTCTAACAAGTCTCCATTCTTGCCGCATTCTGCACACTGCTGCGAGAGTCTTCTCCAGTGCACAGTACAGATCTCATCCCTTCTCTCCCATTGCTCTTAAGATAGGTCTCAAGACTCAGTGTAAGACACATGGCTGTGTATAACCAGAGTCCCACGTAGCTCTGTGGCCTAATCTGGTAGCAAATGCTTACCGGGGCCTTTTCACAACTCTCAGCTTGAGCCACTGGGGCCCATCCTCTGTCCTGAGAAACAAATTTTAACATAAATCCACTGCCTCACACCACATACAAAATTAACTCAAAATGGATCTAAGACCTTAATGTAGGAGCAAAAACTCTTAGAAGAAAACATAGTAAATCTTCGTGACCGTGGGTTAAGCAGTGGTTTCTTAGATACAAGGTCAAAAGTACAAGCAACCAAAGAAAAAGATAAACTATATTTCATCAAAATAAAAAAAACCCTTTGTGTTTCAGAGAACAGCATTAATAAATGAAAACAATGGGAGAAAATATTTGCAGATCATATATCTGATGAGACTTGTATTGAGAATGTCTAAAGAACTCTCAATAATAAAGGCAAATGACCTGGTTGACAGTGGCAAAGGATTTGAACAGACATTGGTACAAAGAAGATACATGGATCATTAGTCATTAGGGAAATGCATATGAAAACTATAGTCAATGTAAATCAACTATTTCAATTAAAATAAATTTTCTAAAAATCCTAAAAAGAAAAAGAACTACAGTGAGATATCATTTCACACCCACTATGATGGCTAGAGGAAGTGAAGAAATTGGAACTCTCATACATTTTTAATAGGAATACAAAATGGTGCAGCCACTTTGAAAAACCATTCAGTAGTCCTTCAAAAAGGTAAACATAGAGTTACCATATGACCCAGTAATTTCACACCTAGGTATATATCCAAGACAAATGAAAACATGTTCACTCAAACTTGTACACGAATATTCATAGCATTATTGTAAGAGCCTCCGACTGGAAATGCAAATATCCATCAACTGATGAGTGGATAAACATGATGTGTTATATCTATAGAATGGAATATTACTTGGCAATAAAAAGGAATGAAGTTATAATACATGCTTCAACATGGATGAATCTTGAAAACATACTGAGTGAAGCCAGACACAAAAGGTTACATATTGCATGATTCCATTTATATGAAATATCCAACAGAGGCAAATTCATAGAGATGGAAAGTAGACTGATTTCCAGGGGCTGAAGGGAATGGGGAATGGAGAGTGACTGCTACTGGGTGAGTTTTCTTTTGAGGGAAATGAAAATATTCTAAAATTAGGTGGTAGTGATAATTGCACAAAAACTAAAAGCCTCATTTTAAAGGGGGAAATTTATGGTATGTGAATGACATTTCAATAAAATAGTTATTTTAAAAAAGTTACACTTATCTCCAACTGGCTTTTCTCCCTACTATAATCACAATAATTGAACTACTAAAAATAAGATTAAAAAAATTGATGGGACCTAAAGCTGCATCTAGAATGCAACAAAACAAGTTTTTTTTTTAAAAACCAGCAACATCCGTGCACAATTCTAGGGTTGCAGTCAGTCAGCCCTTGATGGGCCTGATCCAAATGGAAGAAAAGAAAAGAGATCTTTTGAACAAAATTTATGGAAAAGAACTTTAACAGGTCTCATCTCTTCCCCGCTCAGTCCTCAGCAGGAGTGGGACTTTCAAACAAATTACCTGGATAATTCTAAGGAGCGGCCAGATTTGGTAACCACTGAATCAGTCCCCAGACTAAATTATTCAGACTCCCAAATTCCTATTTAACCCACTGTAATTTGGCTTCTTGCCACATCTCGCAACTAAAGCTACAGTTCACTGAAGTGAGGGGCAGTGTTCAGGACCCCAGGTCCAGGAACCTGTTTTGTGCCCTCACTTCTTCCCAGTACTGACTGTTGACTACCCTCCTCCCAAAAGTCTGTAGTCAACCTCTCTGCTAGGTCTCCTATGCCTGTGTTCTGACTGCCCATCCATTTTTTAAGAGAGTATCTTCTCCAGGATTCTGTGCTTAGACTCCGACCTCTTCTGTTCCCCAGAAAGATCTCACTTTTCCTGTGGTTAAAACACCACCATTACAATGATGACTCCAGATCTATTTCTTCAATCCACACCTTTCTCCTGAGCTCCAGGCTCATACTTCAGCTGTCTGCTGGGCATCTGGAGGTCCCATGACACCTCAGACTCCACAAGTTGAAATTTATCTCATCCCTCCACCAAACTTGTCCACCTCTAAGGAATGTCAGAAAATGGTGGTACCAACCAGAGATACCTTCAAAGTAGAATCTGAGATATCACTGACTTCTCCTACCTCCTACTCTATTCAGTCACCATGGAGATTCTACTTCAGTGACACCTCGACTCTCTCATTCTTCTGTCTTTCCTCTCTTTCCCTCCCCTAGGGCAAGACCTTATCCTCTTTTATAATTATAACTTCTCTGATCCAACTGATCCTAGTTGGGAAGTCTTTTTAAAAAAGTGTCATTCCACTTTGCTTAAAGGGATCAGAAGAGCTTCTTATGTAAGGAAAAAAATCAAAAGAAATAAACAAATGTTAATGTTAATACATCACTGCCTCACACCACAGACAAAATTAACTCAAAATGAATCTAAGACCTTAATGTAAGAGCAAAAACTCTTAGAAGAAAACATTTTGAACATTTTTTTTCTGTTGAGTCGAACATAACCACATGTATCTTTTCACTTCTAATGTTCATAATTCCACAGCCCAGGAAAGGAATCAAGCCGAAATTATGATGACATTATATGTTTTAGGATTAAAGACCAAAATTAATCTCATGCTAGTGCTAGGAAGAAGAGCTTATGTAATCATGAATTCTCCTTTGGTTTATGCTTTCCTTCAATATCAAAATGTGTTTTAAGGTGTGTTTTCATTGGGGAAAAAAAAGATGCATATTTGGAGGAAAAGCAAGTACCCTTGGCCACAGGTACAGCACAGAGCAAGAAATGAAGCAGCGCTGTGAACGAGGCCATTTGTGTGTTTACTCAGCATTTCCTGAGCACATCCATGGGCTCATCCCCATGTCCACCAAGTCTTCCCTGTAAATCCACTCAGAATCCAACCTGCTCCCTGGCGGGTGTGACAGACTGGCTTTATGCAGCCAGAGAGATGGATTAACAATCTCAGCAAAAAGCTGGCATGTCCAAGAGATTTAATTTTTTTTTTATATAACAGTTTTAGCCAAAGCTGTTCTAGGACTCAGTGGAAGCTGAGTTTCACAGGACAAACTTATTGACTAATAGCCAATCACTAAATAGCGGGGAGGGTAAAGCCTTGGTGTTTGTGTCACGGCCTGGGGGTGGGGAGTGGGGTGGGACAAGCAACAGTATCAAATATTCAATTGGGAACCTCAGCCTGGCCAGCTGTGCCCTTGCAGCCCCAGCCCGAGGCAGCATACTGAACCAATGGTTAAGCCCGGAGGGGATCTGCCCCGCTGCAGCTTCCTGGAAAGCAGCTTGGGGCATCACGGACATTCACAGAATGCCTTATTTTACAAGACTCATTTTGTTCTTGTTTTGCCTGATGGTTCTCGTGGAAAGCAGAAAGCCCAAGAAGAAGAGATGGACAGGGCAGCTGGAAACGTCCAAGCCAAGGTAAAGTCGTGGGTGGGGTGAGGGGAGAGAGGTCACTCACCGTGGCAGCAGCGGCAGCATCACCCAGTGGGACGGCTCCCTGGAGACCTGGGGTTAGACCGTCCTGTCGGAATCTGCTTTCCAGCCGGAGGTAGACAGGACCTTGACTTCACTGAAAACAGCCTCTCTCTGGGTACAGATAGGCTGTTGTGTCATCAGCAGTGAGAAAGCAAAGCTCGACTAGGTTGAGCCCTTCATTCTGATGTCTGTATTCAGCCAAAGCATTTTCATTTAAGGCAGGTAGTTGAAGACAGTGGGTAAAGCATGTCTGTGCTTCTCAGATTGTGCTGTTGTTTCTCAGGATTATGTCCTGTAGGGACCACAGATGGCCTGCTAAGTAATTACACTGACTTTTTTTTTTTTTTGGAGGGGAACTGTACATAGGAATTTTGTTTGAACTATTAAGAAAAAATGTAACTGGGAGTTGTCTTCTTTAAATGATTTGATTGGGAACAATTTTTATAACGGTATCAGGTTTCATTTTTTGAATCTTAGGAAAGGTGTTTGAAATTTGCTTGGTTATCAGAAATAGACCTGTGGATAACAGTGAATAACATATCATGATGAGATACTGGTTAGGCCCAGAATTTGCACTCAGTATCATTTACATCACAAACTGAAGTTCCTTAACTTGTTTGTTTTGAACCAATGTGCCAAGCATGGTACTCTAGACCTGATGTAGACATGAGGACTGTTCAGCATGAAGAAAAGAGCAAGCAGCTGAGATATCAACACTCTAAGTGAGACGTCTGTTTTCTGTTCTACTAGGCATTGCATGAACTAGTGATTTGGAATATAAACTAACATCTTGAGGCACAGTTTCTAGGTCACTGGTTTCCCTTTTTAATCAGCACCACTATCAGCAACAATTTTTTGAAACTGTACCTCCTATACACACACACACACACACACACACACACAAATTACATCCATGTACTATTATAAATATGTATATTAAATTAAAGCCTGGGGGAGGGTATAGATAGTGCAGTGGTAGAGTGTGTGCTTAGCATGCGCAAGGTCCTTGGTTCAATCCCCAATACCTCCATTAAAAAAAAATCCTGATTACTGCACCCCCAAAACCCTTCAAAAACAAACAAAAATGTAATAAAGCAAAAAAAACCTTTTTAATTAAAGGAAAATAATTAATAAAAAATATAAATACATTAAAGCTTAATAGCTTCCTTATTTTTATACATAAACTAACTATAGATAAGAGTTACTATCTCTACTTCCTGCACCCCAGTGGACCATCTTGAGCCCTCTGGGGAGTGCCCCTAGTTTGGAGACTGCTGCTCTGGGAGATGTGAATACTCAGGTGGGTCTAACTCTACTCAGTCAGAAAGCAAACAGATACAAATCGTCCAGGATAACCAGAAAGAGGCACTTTTCTGAAGACTCATCCTGGTTATGCTATCAGAATCGTAGGCTATTGAACCTCAGAGATCATCAGCAAGTCCCATGAGTTCTAATACTGTGAACTGTGAGCAGCTGGTGTGTAAAAAGGGGGCTCCAGAGTTAAAGAAGCTTAGGAAATCCTGTTTTGGACCATTCTAAATAGATGATTTTATAGCAGAATGTATAGAACTTTATTATGCAAATAGACATTGTGAATCTTGAATTGAAGAGGGGGATAAATTATGCAGTGTTTCTCCAAAAAAAAAAATAATAAAGAAAGAAAAAAAAGAACATTTTTTTTGGACTATCTTGTGGGATTCATATGCCACAGAGCACACATGGGGAAACACTGCCTCATTTCACAGATGCCAAAATGTGGGCTCAAAGGCACAAGTAATTTGCACATCTCTCTAGTGGCTTGACAGGACCAGAACGTAGGCTCCTGATTTACTCAGGCTGGAGGAAAAGAGTTGTCTGAACTTGACTATGCTCTAACAGTGGTGCTGGACTTCAGGAAGGGCCCCTCAGGGCCCCTCAGGGATTCCACTTGGCAGCCTGGGCAGTTATAGCATGTCTGTCACTCCTCAGAAGACCCACAGTCCCATTCCCAGACACCTGCATGAGCTTGTGGACAGATTGAATTTATTTAAAAAATTTTTTAATTGCAGTATAGTTGATTTACAATGTTATATTAGTTTCAGCTGTATAGCATAGCAATTCAAATTTTTATAGATTATACTCCATTTACAGTTATAAAATATTGGCTACATTCCCTGTGCTGTACAATACATCCTTGAGCTTATTTATTTTATACATAGTAGTTTGTATTTCTTAATTTCCTACCCCTACCTATCTTCCCCCTCCACCCTTCCTTCTCCCCACTGGTAACCACTAGTTTCTTCTCTATATCTGTGAGTCTGCTTTTTTTTTTTTTTTGTTATAGTCACTAGTTTGTTGTATTCTTTAGATTCCACATAGAAGTAATATCATCTATTTGTCTTTCTCTGTCCAATTTATTTCACTTAGCATAATATCCTATTTCACTTAGCATGTTGTTGCAAATGGCAAAATTTCATTCTTTTTTATGGCTGAGTAGTATTCCATTGTATATATAGACCACATCTTCTTTATCCATTCATCTGTTGATGGACACTTTGTTTCTGTATCTTTACAATTGTAAATAATGCTTCTATGAACCTTGGGGTGCATGTATCTTTTCTAATTAGTGTTTTCATTTTCTTCCCATATATACCCAGGAGTGGAATTGCTGGGTTATATGATAGTTCTATTTTTAGTTCTTTGAGGAAACTCCATACTGTTTATGAACAGACTGAATTTTATCCTTAGGGGTGAGGAGAATTTCTTGAAATCTATCCCATGAGGTGTTAAAGTGGATGGAAAGATAAACATGAACATTCAAAGAATATAAAATAATTATTCAACAAAAGCTGGGGGAAGGATAGAGAAAATGTCACATCAGGGAACATGGTTCCAGAAAGTGCACATGCTCAGACAATCATAGAGCTACATGCGTCTGTCTGTGAAAAATTTCAGCCAAGCATCTGACTAAAAAGTACATTCATTATTGACACAAGAGTTAAGCTATACTAATAAATAGATAGAAAATGTCCAGACCTTTTCTCATTACAGTCTCAGAGTTTATCCTCTCTGTAGAGTAACTTCTTTTCTCAGACGGTCATACACACACAAACCATATACCACATAGGGTTTCTCACAGTCACACACACACTCATACACACTGATAGGACCTCTCCTAACCTGTAAACTGTCTGCATCATGCTGGCCAGCACACCCTCACAAAGCAGTTATTCTGCCCAGCAGCTGCTTTTTCAAAACTGCTTCCGCTTTTCTGATCCTTTGTGTCCCTCTTTATTGAATCACTGCCAAGTGAGCCTGTTTGCTCTTGGCTCTCTTTTGTTCTGTTCTTCCTGCCTCTCAGCCTAGCCTCCCAGCTTTATTTCAACTCCTCCCCGCACTGCTGCCTAAGTCAGCCTCCTGACCACGTGATTGCTTTCCTGCCAAGAGTGGTCCTTCTCCCTCGAGATCTGAAAATACACCAAGCTCTGGGCGCTGGGAGCCGGGGCTCTTCCCTGATAACAATGTCTCTCCCCTGCTGGTCCTGAGCCTGGGGTCCCGTTTCATCTTTTCCCTTCTGATTTGCTGCCCCCTTGGTTCTACCTGGCCTTGGCCATCCTCTGTCTGCATCAAGGCCCCAGTTGTGCAGGACCCAGGGACCCCCACATTTCAGAGGGTCTGGGAAAAGAAGTAGGGGTCGGAAAGTCAGGGAAACAGGTTCAGACCTTGCTTCTAATGCTCCCGGGCCGCGTGGTTGTGTTTCCCGATCTTTCTGAATCTCATTTCTCCAGTTGAGAAGGGGAGGTGTTGAGACCGTTCCCCACTGAAGGATGAGGTGACCGCAGCGTGGGACCTGTGCAGTGAGGAGCGATTCACAGGCGCAAGGTCATTGCAGTTGCTGTTCTTACTGCGGCGAAATAACCCTCAATACGGTGGCACCAGCCCTGCTTCTCAAAAGCACAGGGAACACATTTTCCTTCTCTCTAAACCCCTCACCTCGACAAGGATACGTCTGAGGTTCTGTGGAGGTGCTGGTGGCCCCACCGTGGGGCTGGGCTCCACATATGGCCCCTGGAGTCTGCGGTCCGAGGGCTGAGGCATCCGGGCAGCGCCCGGCATCTCCTGTGAAGGATGGACGAAGGGCATCCAGTTCGCACAAATAGCCCAAACTCAGGATTTCAGTGGCCTGAGTTATCCAGTAACTGGGCTCTTAAGAAAAATTCCGGGGCCTCGGTGTTGGCACTGGGACCTCAATCCCCTCCCTCCCGCTAGGGTCCTGGCAGTCTGGGCCTTCTGCTCCCCAATCCTCCCCTCTAAATGGAGAAACTGCTGACGCGGAGGGATTTGCCCCTGGGCTGCGCGTGGTGGCGGGGGTGGGGGTGGCCGGGAACGAGCCGGCTGTACTCAACTATTTAAAGTCTGTGATCTGCCAAGTCCTCAGGCTGAGCTCTGCCTCCGCGTTGCCGGGGTGTCTCTGCTGGGGCTTCTGAACACCGCTCCATCAGCAGCAGCTGTGCAGGAAGCCGGGCGGGCCACCCTCCACTTCTTGGGCAAGAGACCGGAGAGGGCACAAGCTCCTCCGAGGGGCCGCTCCATGACCACACGTGCTTCTAGGGAGCTGACTTAGGTCCCGCCTTCCAGCTGAAGGGGAAGAAGCCATGGATTGGCCTTTCCTCCTCGGAGTGTGTGGCTGCAGCAGGGTTGTCCAAAAGCAAATCTCATCATGGCTTTTTCCTCCGATTGCCCCACACCCTCTGTGTTTTCCCTTTGCCTTTGGATAAGGATGAAAGTTTTAACACGATCTTCAAGGCTCTGCCTGTCCGGGCTCTGCTTGCCCCTGTAGCCTAGGTCTGTCTGTTTCCGCCAGACCCCTCCTGCCTCCCTCCGGTTTTCTCTAACGCCCACCCGTCCTTCAGCTGGGTCTTCTCACACTCAGCGGGTCCCCCAACAATGGACATCTGGCGTTT